CGGCCTGATTAGGAGAACCGGCACAGGTTTGACCACTTCTATTTGAAGTATGGACTGGCATTCGTCGGATGACATGCGAAGGCCGGTACCCAGTGTAGCTCCACATCTGCCACAACTTGTGAGTGAGTTGATTGATCATACGTCGGCAGCTTGGAATCGGGCAAAACTTCAGGAATTCTTCACGCAAGCTGATATAGATGTGATACTCAATATCCCTCTATGCAATCGAGCCAACATGACTTCTGGGCTTGGCACCATGATAAGAAGTGAGTTTTCACGGCTTATAATGAGGCATGCTTTATCAGAAAATGCAACAAGATCAAATAGAAAAGAAGAGGAAAAGGAGTGGACATCTTTGTGGAAGGTCATGGTGCCTTCAAAAGTGCGGGTGTTTCTATGGAGTTTTGCAAGGCACTCTTTGCCGTCGGCTGATGTTCTCCACCATCGAATATGGCAGATCATGGCCGTTGTGCTTTGTGTGGGGCTCTTGATTCCTGGAAACACTCCTTGCTGGAGTGTAATATGGCGAGGTGTGTATGGGCATTGGAGAGCGAGGAAATCGTTGAACACCTCACTGAGATGCAGGAGAACTCAAGAGGTTGGTTGGCGCATTTGATAGAAACAATGCCACAAGCTGATCTCATATATGTGTTGGTGATTATATGGGCAATCTGCTACGCAAGAAGGAAGGCAATCTATGAAAATATTTTCCGGAGCCCGCTTTCAACACATAGTTCCATCAACAAATATATTGTTGAACTTCAAACGACAAAGCCGACTCAGGCAGGAAAGGCACAAGTTCAGAGTCAAAGGCCATGGTGGTTGCCGCCACTAGTAGGTTGCATGAAGGTGAATGTAGATGTGGCTATTTCTAAGAATCTGATAAGGGCATCAGTGGCGGCAATAGCTCAGGATCAGGCCGGTATTTTTCTGGGAGCTTCGGGAGTGGTTCTCGATGGAATTACTGAACCAGACATTGCTGAGGTGATGGCCTGCAGAGAAGGACTTGCTTTGGCGACTAATCTAATGTTAACTTCAGTACGGTTGGCATCGGATTGTGCCAATGCTATCAGAAGCTTGGAAGGAATAAATATGGGTCCGTATGGCCAAATTGTGAAAGAGATTCAGACCAGGGCTCATGATTTTTTTGGTGGATTTTGTCCATGAGAGTAGGAAATCAAATGTTGATGCTCACACTCTAGCTAGGAGTTTGATTTCTATTGATACAGGCAGACATGTCTGGTTTTTAGAACCGCCTTTTGGCATTTGTAATTATGTTGACCAGGTGCATCAATAAAGAGTGGTGATTTCTCAAAAAAAATCATCGTTAATTTCAGCCAAATTAATAACCAATCATCATTAATTTAACACATGTTCTCTAAGTGCCGAAAGAGGCTTACACATGTTCCGGTCACAGAACAACAAAAGAAGTGGTTAGGAAGGCGTTAGGGAGAGGCGACGAGACTGAACACCAGCGGTTACAATTGATGGGTACCACTACTCTGTTTTTCATGTATATGTATATTTCTACAATACAGTCTCTACATACTATTTGCCGGCCTCCCCAAACCACGAACGCTCTAGTTAAATTGGAGTAGAGCAGAGAACTGAATTGAAGCATCGGCAACAGCACTAATAATTACCTTGAAAAGAGCGACGGCGCCAGTGAGCCCGTCGGTGAGTCGCCGCCGCCTCCCATCCACAGCAGCTCGCTCCTGGTCGACCTCCTCCATATCTGCTACCCTTGCCGACCCCTCCGCCGGCGCCGCCATCTACGCCGCCGCTGGGGAGGACGTTCGGCAGCTGGCTTTCGGCCTGTGTGGGCTGGGCTACCCGACGAGATCTCTCTCCTCTCACACTTGCTACATGGGCCTTCTGTTTTTTTTTATTGGGCCTTCGAGAACAACAATTTTTTTTAAAGAACCGAGGGCATTCCCCGTTTCCATTTCCATTTCCATTAAAGAACAAGGACAAATTGCCTCCTCTCCGCGCCACCGGTGACTGTGGAGTGGGCACTGGGCACCAGCACTGCCTGAGCCTGACGCAGAGGGCACTGCACGCGCTCGACGAGCGTGCCGTGGACTTCACTTGTGTGGACGTGTGGGGCCTCCCCTTCCCTCCCAACCTTTCTTTCTGCCTTTCGGGGCCCAACCTAATCCAATCACTTTTTTCTCGTCACACTTTCTGCCTACTCTACCACAACTACTACCACCGTACTACTGCAAGTAGTGCAGCTATCGTCTCAAATTATCATTGTGCCTTGTTAAAGGCTACTAAATCTTTTTCTCCGTGCCAAAGATGTTAAAAGTAACCTAACTTTTGATGTCAAGAAGAGAAAAGGGTGTGTGTAGGGTCTGTTTGCATCTCTTAGAAAGCACGAGAGATGTTTTGATAATTGGATTCTACCTAGTGACGGTACAACTTGAGTTTGGATGAAAGAACGAGAGATGCTAGGATCATGTACGTATTTCTAGACATTCTACAGTATTTGGTTGTATTGTATATATGCTGCTATGCCCAAAAAGCAGGGGCGTGATGGGCAGTGGGTTTTCAGAATCTGGTCGTTAGTCGTTACTCCTTGGTCATGGTCCTCCAGCATCTGGTTCCAGACTAAAGTTTAATTCGTCATTGGATAATAGGATAAACGTGGATCAATTAAATTTTTTAATCCATTCTACTCATAAGTTAGTCTCTATTAGTTTTGGTTAGACTTTAAATACTTCATGTTTAGGACTTCTATTTAGCATCCAAAACATGGGCTAAAATTTAGTTTAGTCTATCAAACACCCCATCAGGAGACCTAAAGAGGTCCTTGGTCCTTGCCTCCTTGCTGTACCTCAGGACAAATCAAATTCAAGCTGGATGGATGCATACGGTGGCAACCTTGGTCCAACAGTCAAATTACCACTCTAGTTCAAGTGGCAGTTACACCCTCAGCTCCCTCCGTCCGTGTCTGCAACATATTGTAATTTTATTTCATAATAACAATAATTGCATATCAAGCCAAACCCTTGTAACTTTGCCTTGAATTTATATACACAATGACGAAATATGAATATTTATGTCGTAACTCCTTCGTTTTAAATTGTAAGCCATTTTTTTTGATACACAGCAGGTGTTTGGGAGCACTGAAACAGTTGTTCCCGCTGCGGGTGGCTGTGGATACAGTCATTTGCCGAGGGGGGAAAAGTCATGGTTGCAGCAACAGTTCGTTTAGTGCGACGAACATGTCTACGGGTTTTACTTTGCAGACATAACCCATATCCAGGACCCGCTTAGTTCCAATTTTATTTCATAATAATTTTAAAGATTATCAACATCAAATCTTTGTAACCTTGCCTTGAATTTATATATATAAATAAAAATAAAATGTAATCCTTGCAAAGCTGTAAGCCATTTTTTGATACACAGCAGGTGTTTGGGAGCACTGAAACTTTTGTTCCCGTTGCGGTGGCTGATACAGTCATTTGCCGGATACTAATTTGCAAATAACAACGAAAGTGATACAATACCATTTCACGGTTTTTAAAAATTTTGGTAACATAACCCATATCTAGTTGGTGCACTATAAAACCTATGCACAAAAAAAAATGTCAAAATGACTTAAGATCTGGAATGTAGTGAATAATAAATATGTATCACTACATTTGTTATCAGAATATATTTGCATTATATATATAATAATTTTTTATACTACTCCCTCCATTTATAATTTATAAGACGTTTTTTTTTTTTTTATGTACATAGTTTTTTTTATGTATGTGAATATATACTATGTCTAGATACATAGGAAAAACAATATATCTAGAAAATAAACTAAAATATTTTATGATTTGGAATGAAGGAGTACTTTCTTTATAAAGTTGGTGTCAAACTTAGAAAGTTTGACTGGATTGTATTATTTTGTACGCAAAGGTAGTATTTGATTGTCTCTAAATAAATACATTTGTTGCTATATATCGAGATAGGGTAAATCTTAGTACTTGTCTACAAATCTATAGCAGTACTGGTACTTCAGAGATACAATTATTTATTTTTGAGATCGAGGTATCTGGCTTGGGAAAGAGCAGGCCTGAATTGATTATATATATATATTAATTGGTTAATGTAGCAGAGAGATTGTATGCTCTGACAGCCAACAACCGGTAACCTCCGCCGCAAACTTGTGGCTGCTGCCGGTGGTATGGCGCTATGGCCTAGAGCGAGGCCTGGGTGCGCGGCATCGAGGAACGTGGAACGGAACGGGACGGAAACGGGAATCACACTCCAACCGCCCGCAGCCCACTGCGGCGACGGCCGACGACGGCGAGGCGAAGGCGACTGCATTCATCACTCACAGCCGCACAACTCTCCACCCAACCACACCACAAAAGACTGCTGACTGCATCTGACCATTCTGACCTCTCTCTCTCTCTCTCTCTCTCCGTGACGCAGGCGGCACGCAGTCACGCACAGCTGCACACGCAGCGCAATACGAGGAGGAGGTGAGGTGGCCGTGTGGACGCCGGACGGGGAGGGGGATGGGGAGGGCTGCAGTCAGAGCCAGTCCAAGCGAGAGTGGACTTTGGAGTCTGGACAGAGACTCACGCTCTCTCCACAGCAGGGAGACCGCCATCCACGCCACCTCGCACGCGCATCCTCTCCCTCCTCCCGGCTCCTCCCCTTTCCCTGCCCTGCTTCGCTTTCAACCAACCTACTCACGCCCACTCCACTCCCCTCGTCGCACTCTCCCACTCTCCATCATCACCACCACAAGCCCCTGCACTGCGCTCTACCTCCCTCCTGCTTCCTCCCCCCACGGCACACGAGAGGAACGACGTGCCAAGGAGCAGAATTCCACAACGCCGCCAACGCCTGCATCGGGATGCCACCGCCGCCGCCGCATCCGCATTGCCCCCCTCTCTCCTCCTCCTCCCCCGCCGCCGCCGTAGCCGTGTGACCCACTCCCTCCCCGCAGTCGCGCCTCCGCGCGTGCCAGCCCAGCCCCCGAATCCGAATCCATGGCACCCAAGCGCGCGCCGCTCCTGCTCCTGCTCCTGCTCCTCCTCCTCCTCCTCCTCCTCCTGCCGCTGCTCATCCCGCGGGCGCGCGCCGCCGCGAACCCGGACCCGGCGCCGTGCCACCCGGACGACCTGCGCGCGCTGCTTGCCTTCGCCGGGAACCTCACGTCGGCGGCGGACGCCCTCCTCTGGCCCTCCTCCCCTCCTCCGCCCCCGGGTGCTGCGCGTGGGACGGCGTTTCCTGCGACGCCGGCGGCCGCGTGTCCGCATTGCGCCTCCCGGCCCGAGGCCTCGCGGGCCCGCTCCCGTCCCCGGCGCTCGCGGCGCTCCCGTTCCTCCGGGACCTCGACCTCAGCCGGAACGCGCTCACGGGCGCCGTCGCCGCGGCCCTCGCCGCCTTGCCAGGGACCATCCGCGCCGCTAACCTCTCCTCCAACCTCCTCCACGGCGCGCTTCCGGGGGCCCCTCCCGGACCACCTCGACGCCCTCGACGCCAGCAACAACTCCATCTCCGGCCCCCTCGCGCCCGACCTCTGCGCCGGCGCGCCCGCGCTCCGCGTACTCGACCTCTCCGCCAACCGCCTCGCCGGCGCGCTCCCATCCTCCACCACCCCTCCGCCCTGCGCCGCCACGCTGCGGGAGCTCAGCCTCGCCAACAACGCCTTCAACGGCGACATCCCCGCCGCGCTCTTCGACCTCACTGCCCTCCGCAAGCTCTCCCTCGCCGGCAACCGCCTCACCGGGCCACCTCACCCTCGCCTCGCCGGCCTCAAAGACCTCACCTTTCTCGATTTGTCCGGGAACCGCTTCTCCGGCGACCTCCCCGACGCGTTCGGCGGCCTCACGTCGCTCGAGAACTTGGCCGCGCACTCCAACGCCTTCACGGGCCCGCTGCCGCCGTCGCTGTCGCGGCTCTCGTCTCTCCGTGTTCTTGATCTCCGGAACAACTCCCTCTCCGGTCCGGTCGCTACCGTCAACTTCTCCGGGATGCCGTCGCTTGCTTCCGTCGACCTTGCCACGAACCAGCTCAACGGCACGCTCCCTGTCAGCCTCGCCGGCTGCAGAGAGCTCAAGTCGCTCAGCCTCGCCAGGAACAGTCTGACGGGCCAGTTGCCGCAGGATTATAGCCGGCTCGTCTCGCTGTCGATGCTCTCGCTGTCCAACAACAGCCTGCACAACATCTCGGGGGCGCTCAGCGTGCTCAGTGCCTGCAGGAACCTCACCACGCTGATCCTCACCAAGAATTTCGTCGGCGAGGAGCTGCCGGACGATGGCGTTGTTGGGTTCGGCGGCTTGGAGGTGCTGGCCCTTGGTGATTGTGCTCTGAGGGGAAAGGTTCCGAAATGGCTGACTCAATGCAAGAAGCTGGAGGTGCTTGATCTGTCGTGGAACCAATTGGTTGGTACCATCCCGTCATGGATTGGCGAGTTTGAGTACCTGAGCTACTTGGATCTCTCCAACAATACCTTGGTTGGTGAGATACCAAAGAGCTTGACACAGCTCAAGAGCCTCGTTGCTGTCACGCAGTCACCGGGTATGGCGTTTACTAGCATGCCATTGTATGTGAAGCATAACAGAAGCATTAGTGGCCGGCAGTACAACCAGCTCTCAAACTTCCCACCGTCACTGATCCTGAACAACAACCGCCTGAATGGGACCATCTGGCCTGAGTTTGGAAACCTGAGGGAGCTGCATGTCCTGGATCTGAGCACCAATTTCATATCTGGGAGCATTCCTGATTCGCTGTCGAGGATGGAGAATCTGGAGGTTCTTGACCTTTCATCCAATAATCTCAGCGGTGTGATTCCGTCATCCCTCACGGAGCTCACCTTCTTGTCCAAGTTCAGCGTGGCTCACAATCACTTGATGGGGCAGATCCCAAATGGAGGGCAGTTCTGACGTTCTCCAACTCGAGCTTTGAGGGTAATCCTGCTTTGTGCAAAGCAAGTTCCTGCAACCCAATTCTGTCTAGGGGAACTCCTAGGGACACGGATGTAAAACCTGCTGCATCAAGTATCAGGAACAGGAAAAACAAAATACTTGGGGTGGCCATCTGCATTGGTCTGGCCCTTGCAGTATTTTTAGCTGTTATTTTGGTGAACATGTCAAAGAGGGAGGTCACCGCTATTGATTATGAAGATACCGAGGGCTCCTGTCATGAATTGTATGATTCTTACTCAAAGCCAGTGCTGTTCTTTCAGAATTCCGCAGTGAAGGAGCTAACTGTCAGCGACCTAGTCAGATCGACAAATAACTTTGATCAAGCCAACATAATAGGCTGTGGTGGATTCGGTCTGGTGTACAAGGCTTATCTCCCCGATGGAACAAAGGCGGCAGTGAAGAGGCTCTCTGGTGACTGCGGGCAGATGGAGAGGGAGTTCCGTGCTGAGGTGGAAGCACTATCACAGGCTCAACACAAAAACCTTGTAACCCTCAAGGGGTACTGCCGCTATGGAAATGATAGGTTGTTGATCTACTCTTACATGGAGAATGGTAGCCTGGACTACTGGCTGCATGAGAGGTCAGATGGCGGTTATATGCTGAAATGGGAGTCGAGGCTCAGAATCGCCCAGGGGTCAGCCAGGGGGCTGGCATACTTGCACAAGGTCTGCGAACCCAACATCATCCATCGAGACGTGAAGTCCAGCAACATTCTTTTGAATGAAAATTTCGAAGCGTGCCTGGCTGATTTCGGGCTAGCAAGGCTGATACAGCCGTACGACACTCATGTGACTACTGATCTGGTTGGTACCTTGGGGTACATCCCACCAGAGTACAGTCAAGCGGTGATCGCCACTCCAAAAGGGGATGTCTTCAGCTTTGGTGTAGTCTTGCTTGAACTGCTCACGGGTAGGCGCCCTGTGGATGTGTCCAAGTTCAAGGGATCCAGGGACCTGATCTCCTGGGTTCTTCAGATGAAGTCTGAGAAGAAGGAAGAGCAGATTTTTGACAGCCTGATATGGAGCAAGACGCATGAGAAGCAGCTGTTGTCTGTCCTCGAGACGGCGTGCAAGTGCATCAGCACTGATCCTCGGCAGCGGCCGTCAATTGAACAAGTTGTGAGCTGTCTTGACAGCGTGTGAGCAGCACCATGATACCGTGCTGATTGCCAGTTTCTTCCTTTTTCTTAATCAATCAAAGGCTAGGAGCTATTGACATGAGAGAGGAACAGAGTAGAAAAGCAGTCTGAGTAAATTCAGACAATGCAGGTGCAGGCTAGGCATGGTGTCGTGCTATTATATAGCTAACCAGAAAATAGCTTGGGTCCTGTTTTCGTTCTCAGTAACTCAGTGTTGTGTAAAAGTTATAAATAAATTCCCATATCAACCGTTGTTTTTATGAGCTGCTGTGCTTTAAATGGTTTGTCCTGTGAATACAATACTGAATTTCATAATCCCAGGGCAGTGATGTTTTCGCCTTGAAATTTTTCAGTTGTGTGATGGCGCACTTCATCTCTTATATATAGAAAAACTGAATCTGAGCTCTGGTTGATACTTTCAGATACTGGGGGAGGACGTGCAACGTTGAGTATACTTTACAAATAATCAGCCGGCTTATCAGATAGAATCTACAGTATTTTTCTTTCACATCAAATCTGCAAGGCCGGTTTATCAGTCGGTTTTAATACCAACCGAACAGGCCTTCTTCCCAATGCAGAATGTCATCCCTGCTTAAGACACATGAGTCATGCTGCTGCTTCCTTTTTCTGGCTGCTATTTAAAGAGTCAGTCAGTCAGCACTCAACAAGTCTTGCCCTTGTTGCAGAAGTACAGTGTTCATTTACTTTGTGGTGTTTAAAACTGGATGGTAGCGTATGGCGTCTATATTGACTAAATGTTACAGTACAGCTGCTGGAATGTTGTTTGCCGCTGCTAGATTTCTCTACTCCAAAAACTGAAGCAATCTGAGTAAGTTTGGATAATGCAGATGCAGAGATGAATGATCGAACAGAGTAGAAAAGCAATCTGAGTAAATAAATTCAGATGATGCAGATTAAACTAAACTAAATTAAAACAAAATACACGACTAGCCTCCCACTGCTGTCTGCTGGTGATGGCTTTTGACTAGTTTTATTTTAATTTTCAGACTGAGTAAGCTCCGGCAACATTATTATCATTCTACTGTCAAGCTGCATCAAGCTGACTGTTTATTACTCCAGTATAAACGTGTCCTTGGAGAGGCAATATACTCTTATTTTTATTCTAGACTGCTGCTATCAGTATCAAGCTTTTATTCTAGACTACTGCTATCAGTATCAAGCTGCTGCATGCCTGCATCTGCATCTGCAAGGAACCTAGCAGCGTACTCATACAATAGCCGGCTATAGAGATATGCTAGACCGTCAATAATTGACTCACCAGAGCTGCTGTTCTCTCGCCGTCGTTCACCGCCGCCGCCGTAGGTCCGAAGGAGGCAGAGCCAGAAGGCAACGGTGGAAGCAACGAGTAGTCCGAGAAGGTAAAAACAGGCGACGAGCAGCAGCCAGGCCTGGTCAAGCATCAGGTAAAGCGCCAAAGCTCCGCAGGAGGTCAAGATGACGGGGAGGCCCATCCCCTTGAAACCGACCTTGTAGAGAGCTTCCCACGCGGCGTAGGGCGTCTGCGGCGCGAATGGGTCCAGGTGGCCGCCCGCCGCCAGCACCATCGCCAGGTAGACGTGTGGTAGGACTAGAACCACCAGGAAGACGAAGCCGCCGCCGCCCGAGATGACCTCTAGCACGTTCGTATGATCGTATTTAGTTTATAAGTTATGGTTTATTAGTTAATAAATAGTATTTTTCTCTCACACCAAATTAATTATACTTTTTAAACCAGTCAACTGTATTTTCAGCCATGACTTATAAGATTAAGCAGTCCAAATGAACGGGGCGCTCGTCGTCGTCGTCACGTAGTAGGCCGTAGGTCAAAAGTGCCGCATTGGCGATGAACATGGATGGCAGGAAGACAAGATTCATCCACGCGAAAAAACGGTCCACCCCATGTTCCCCGATTGTCTTCATCGATGCAGTTGTAGAAGGCTCCAAATGAGACGAGATCGTCATTACCAACTGAATAGCACGGGGTAGGGGCATCGTGGTCTTCACTACTGCTTCGCCATGACCAGCTGTGGTGTTGGCGGTTGTGCTGTTGTCGGACAGTGCCGCCGTGATGGAATCTATATCTGACTCTATATCTATATCTATATCATAATAATAAAAAGAGATAAAATTTTCGACCATTTTTTTTCGTTGATTCATTTTTTTAGCCCACCTCATCTTAATTACCGGATAATGAAGAGTTTTTTTTTCTATCTGGACTTATATATATAACCTATGCTCATATGTGTTAGAATAACTATTGTCTAACACGTTACATAGTCCGATTAAAAAACATTTGACCCCGTTAACAAATTAAATGATAAACACTGTCCCGATTCAAAAAAAACACCGTATAAAAAAGAAGTCGAATATCGTCATGTATTGGGTCATGTATATGATTCTCATAAACTGCCAAAAATATTTCACTCCTACGCTGTTCATTTTTTTAGATTTTTTCCCTCCACGTCTGGAATTTGGAGTCCATCACCATCACGGAGTCCATGACTATTCCTTTTTTTTTTCCCAATGCGATTGTTACTTTTTTTCTTTTAGCACACTGTGTCCAGACTTTTTTCTGTAGATTTGGTTTTTTTCTCTTATGCTTCTACATGGAGTCTGGTTTCATCACGTGCCCTCTTTTCCTTTTTTTTTTATTTTTCCGAGTCCTATATATTTTTCTCATAAATATATGAAACAAATAATAACTGCAATCGACTCTTTCCATTGCTAATGTGTTGATGTAGTTACTATTAAAAATAAAACATTTTATTAAAATTAGATCAATCGATGCTCTAACTAATCAAACAATTGGATAATATTGAAAATTTAAGTTATGTGTTATGATATATATCTATGATGAATAAATGTTTTTGTCTTTATAGAAAAAAGTATAATAAGATTATATTTTAATTCGGTATATAATTGGCGAGGTGGTTATGGACTCTATTCCTACGCTCACACTGCTTGGCGATTAGGCAGTTGGAATTTTTTTTAGGCCTGACATGATTGCTTTGGCTGTGTCCGTTTAAATAATTGGCACTCTATTCCGACGCGGACACTGCTTGGTGATTAGGCAGCAGGAGCGAAGCGATTGATTAGCACATGACGATGACCCTTAGTTATTTTTTAGGTGTAGAGAAGAGAGGTGTAGAGATATACAAGGCTTCTTGAGATAACGTGAATAGCTATTCTAATCCAAATAGAGCTATCAAATCCTGTTTTAAAAAATATAAGATTTCCTAATAGAAATTCTATTCTAATCAGCCTAAGCGTCGTCCTTGGATCAACATAAAAGGAAAAGAAAAATAGAAATAAGAAAATTCTGGAAGAAAAAAACACGGGAGGGAAAAGGAAAATACGAAGAAAACCGAAAAGAAAAAGGGAACTGAACATAGAAAGGAAAAACTAAATGTAAAAGTGAAAAAAAACATAGAAAAATATACACGAAACGAAAAAAAACAAAAAAAACAATCGGAACACAGAAGAGAAAAATTAATAAAAAAAGTCGGAACGGAGGAAGCCAACACATGCCGACATGAAGGGAACGGAACGGAAACCAACTCGACGTGGGAACATAACATGACCCGTGAAAGAAACACCAGCGAACAGCCAAAAAAAAGAAGAAAGAAAAACGTGGTGGGAAAAAAAGGGAGAAACACAAGAAAAGAAAAAAATTAAAATGAAAATTGAGTAAATCAAGAAACTCTTGGTGGTTTAATTTTGAGGTAAGATAAGATTAGAGTAAGATTTGTCTAATATACCCGTAAACTAAAATATGAGTAGTTTGTTATCCAATCCGGTCTAAATTAATATGTCTTTGTATTGTACACATGTCCCAGTGCAACCCTGACAAGTGCCACCATGTGTAAAATAGAGAGATGTCTCTTGTCGTAATGATCTCAGTACTCTATATATCATCAACTAATTCTTTGTCGACTTGAAATTAAATGTTAGAATTACATGCTTTCATGGGTCCTCATTAAAGGAAGCACAAAATTTGATGTTACTATAGTATGAAAAATTAAAGCTAGAATATATTTACGAGTAAATATTTCTGTATTTTGTACTGAAAAACTTTCAAATTTGTACTATTGTATACAAAGACGTGCTTTAATTGACATAGGTTTAAGCCGCTTTGTGGTGGCCGCTATGCCCACATGCAGCTATGTCATTCTATCACTCTCATCGACGATAGGATAGTAAATTATAGTCCCGTTGGTATTTTTTTGCTAGTCCTACTGAAGCTCCGATGATCCGATCCTGGCTGGCTGAAGGTAGGTATCTATATATAGATTGGCCGGCCGATCAGATCTCAAGGAAGTGAAGTTTGAGTCTTGATGCTGTCGGTTTCTAGTTTCCATCCATACATGTCGTTGTCATTCAGGGAGGTGATACATCGAGGTTTCCATCCATGGCAGCACGGCGCACGCCTCGCCCGGCGGTAGGTTGGCTTCCCATGTTTCGCAATAAGAAAGGACATTGTCCATCGACGTAGCAACTTTTTTTTTAAACTCCGCTTCATCGATTAAACAACGTTATTACAATCAAATTGCAAGCAATGTTGCAAGAAGCTAGGAGGATTAGACCAAACAAAGGAGCCTAAAGTAGAGGAAGCATGTTGGCCACATAAGTGTGCTACAAAATTCGCCTCTCTTCTGGTGTGAAGGAGCTGAAACGAAGTAAAGTTGGAGACCCTCTCCTCCACTTCATCAAGAATCGCCCTGATCTTTGGATGGTGTTTTTTCTTGTTCTTCCACAAAGATACCAGCTCCAGATAGTCAGATCCCACTATGATGTGCTCCATGATATCCTCTGGATTTTTCCGAACACCGTCTCGAAAAGCTTCAGCTTCTGCCATTAGCACTGACCCCATCGAGTCTTTCCATCAAGCTGAAGTTGCTAGCTTATGGCGCCGCCACTGTTGCACATCACCACCCCGCTTGCTCCGGTGTTGGACTCATGGTGCTATGCCCCATCAACATTAATTTTCACCGTCCCCTCCCCAGGCAGTTGCCAATGCTTCACCTGTCTCGATGTTGTTGGACAAAGTGCATGCAACTTCACTCCTATGAGTGTTATGAACCTGTTCCAAAACTCAGTCGCAATGGGGGGGTAAGTAGTTTCATCCGACATTAATTCCATCGGTTCTATGTGTTTACGGTGTAGGTTAGTGATCGCTTTTGACGAGTTCTCATTTTTTTAGACTAATTAAGTAAGCCCGGCAACATTATATATTATCGCGCATTCTACTGTCAGGCTTCATCAAAGCTGACTGTTTATTACAGTATAAAGGTGTGCTTGAAGATCGAGGCAACATACTCTTATTTTTAAGGAAAATGCTACGGTACATCATTCGCTTGCTAGGAGGTAATACCTCAAATAAATTAAATCTGAGCCTTTGATTTTTTGGATTACACACCCACAAGTCACTAAATCTCATACACATGCGAATGAGGTACATGTCACGTTGGCACGTACACATGCAAATCACATCCATACAAATTCACATGTAAAACTACATGTTAACCAAAATATATCAAGTCCAAAGTTGCAAAATAATAAAGATTTACTATATCCGTGAGATCACGCATGCATCAATCAAATCTAGAAAAAAGTTTTTTTATATATCTAAAACTTTCCTAATTTATCCTACTTTATTACAAAATAAAAAATCAAATAAATATATATGCCACATATTACCTCTTGTAAGGTAAGAGGCGATCATAACCGTCTGATAAAACCAAATAAACGGTACACAGTGATTTGTGGTACCGGAGCAAAGCCCTATTTTTAATTCTAGACTACTGCTGCATCAGCATCGAGCTGCTGCATGACGCCTGCATCTGCAACTGCATGGAACCTAACAACAAACTCATACAATAGTCGGCTAAAGGGATATGCTAAACCGTCAATAACCGCCTCACCGCAGCCGCTGTTCTCTCGCCGTCCTTCGCCGCCGCCGTCGCCGCCATAGGTCCGAAGGAGGCAGAGCCAGAAGGCAACGGTGGAAGCAACGAGTAGTCCGAGAAGGTAAGTCCAGGCGACGAGCAGCGGCCACGCCTGGTTAAGCCTCTCGTTAAGCACCCAAACTCCCAAGGAGATCAACATGACGGCGAGGCCCATCTCCTCGTAGCCGACCTTGTGGAGAATTTCCCACACGGCGTAGGGCGTCTGCGGCGCGGAGAGGCCCAGGTGCCCCCCCGCCGCATGCACCACCGCCTGGTAGACGCATAGTAGGATGGGAACCGCCAGGAAACCGAAGCCGCCGGGGCCCGAGATGAGCTCGCCGCCGTCGTCGTCGTCACTTAGTATGGTGTAGGTGCTAACTGCCGCAAGGACGATGAGCACGGACGGCACGAAGACAAGCTTCATCCACAGGAAAACACGGCCCACCCCGTGTTCCCCGAATTCCCCGATCGTCATCGATGCAGTTGTAGTTGTAGAATACTTCCAACGAGACGACATCGCCATTACCAACTGAATAGCACGGGGTAGGGGCATCGTGGTCTTCACTACTGCTTCATCCTGACCAACAGTGGTGGTGGTTGTGCTACCGTCGGCCGGCGCCGCCATGATTAATTTCCTAGATCCGAGATGATCCGATCCTGGCTGGGGAAGGTAGCTAGGTGTCCATATATATGGACCGGCCGATCAGATCAGGGAAGTGAAGTTTGAGTTTTGAGGTCGGTTTCTAGATCCATATATTCAGGGAGGCCGGTGATACATCGAGGAGTCCTGCGTTTCCATCCATGCGCACGCCTCGCCCGGCAGATGTAACAACCTTTTTTTTTAAGTATATATAATTTGTCCAACAACGTTTGACCTAGATCCAACTGAATAGGCAGAATTTACTAACAATATTATCGTATTTTTTTAGACTATCATTATATACTATATATATATGGCACCAGTTCCCAAAATAGGCCATTGGCATATATGGGCAACCGCGACTACCCACTAGTCTACTTAATTGGGCCCTAATTTCACACTCACGCTCATGTTAGTTATGTGGCCCATTTTATCGCTATCCAGGGCCCAGGTCCAAACATTGGCCCTGTGTTCGTTGTTGAGTAGGGATGGGCATAAAAGCGATACTATAGTAAGTTTACAAACACGGTTTTAATTCAGGTAATTCGGGTATTAGATCCCGGTACCCGATTTACCCATTTTACCTGAAATTTGTAGAGGAAGACTATATGTTATTTTAGTATTTTTCATTGATTGATTACTATTATCTAGATTTAATCGTGATGTAATTGGGGTCTACTAATGTATGACGTGATGCATTTTTTTTTTAAAATGCTAATAAGAGTTGTTGTTTATATCGCTTAAACTTATAGCTATAGTTCTATCTCTTTTGAAATTTGGTTGTGTTCTTAATTTCGGATAGTTCGGGTACACCAAAAAACGAACTCAAAATTTCAAGTAGCCGAAACATCAGGTACTATTTCCTCAAAACAAATATCGCATATCAAATGTGGAAACCCGAATTTCTTAAAACCCGAAATACCTGGCCCGAACTAATTGGGTAACCTGAATGCCCAACCCTGTTGCTGAGCTTGTATGTCATCTACCTCGAGTCAAACTCGGTCATCAAGACAGTTCATGTCTCCACACGTGTCGGTGATGCAAGACATCGCTATATTGCTGGATCATCCCCTGGTTTAGTTCCCTAGTCTAACCGATCTCGAGGATGAATTTGCATCCCTGCGGCCTGGTTTTTTGAGAGTTGAGGCACGTACATAGAAATTTCCCACTTGCCACTTTCATTGTTTTATTTTAGATATCATTAAAGGATTAGGAGATACTAGACATTAGTGGTCGGAGATATGAAACATGAGTGGTACATACATGACCATGTTCCTCGTCTCAAAAACGTCGTTCCGGGAATAATTAGTTCCGTCCCAACAGTGCAAAAGCCTTCCTTCTAAAAGTATAGCATCACTCTTGTTTCACGTTTTCTCATTCCTTGGTACGAGAACGTGGCTGCGAAGCACCAGTGGACATGAGAGATAAACTCATAAATAGAATAGGAAAGCAATCTGAGTTAATTTGAACACCTTTGCCTTGCTGTAGAATGTAGGTGGTGCTACCGAAACATGGAACGAGAAGCATTTGAACTACTATCCCCCCAAAAAAAAAAAAAACAACAAAAAAATAACCAAAATATGAAAAACAGTATATACTATAATGACCAAATATATTAGTCTGTATATGAACATAATAAACCTACTGTTCGCTTCTCTTATAATTCGAACTTGAGAAATATAAACTCATTTCAAGCCAAATAATATACTATGCCATGTTAATCAACGGTGATTCATCATGGGACGTCCGATGCATTATATTTGATGCTAGATCATATAAATGGATGATGTTTGCTCGGTAAATAACTCATTTCAAGCCAATTTTGATGTTAAAAACATCATCTATTATTATGGGAGGGAGTTGCATAAGCAGGAGCATTACCATACCGTTTTTGGTCAGAATTGGATCTTCACTTGGCGTTAACTGCCAGAGTTATTTCCAAGATGAAATTGAGCTAGCACATCGTCTCATGTTAGGTTTTTTTTTTTTTGATGTTAGGCCATTTTTAGTAGTGATAGATATGGCCCAACAACCGAGACTGATCACTTTGCCATGTCTAGTCATGCGTCACACTCTTGGCATGGGAGAAGGAGACATTTTTATATTCATACATAGCCATATCACACGCAGGGAATATATACAAAGTTGAGGATTTCGTCTCATCAAAAAAACAAAAAAGTTAGAAATTCGTTTCGGAAAGAAAAAGGTTGGCAATTTGCCCACAAATATAGGAGTATACCGAAACATAGGAGCATATAAGTATAGCAAAGGAGTAGAACATAACATAGAACCTCTTGTTTGTCTGTCCAAATCCAATCCAAATCCAAAAGAGAGTTTTTTTTTAGTGGAAAATCCAAAAGAGAGGTGTCCCCACCTGTCGGGACTCGGGAATCCTGGGTTCCTTTCCCTTTATCCACCAAAAGGAGAAGAGCCCGTGTGGCCTGGCCCCCAGCCCCAGCCAAGAAGAGAAGCCCGGCCCGGCCAGCAGGGACACGGAGGTGCGGCCGCCGCCCGAACTCCTCTCCTTCCGTCGGCCGTCGACCGATCCATCCCACTCCTCCAGGTTCACTTCGCCTCTCCCTCACCCTCTCTCTCCTTGCTTCTGTCCCGCTCCCCTCCAGGCTCCAGGTGTCCTGCCGCCGGCCGGACCGGCGCCCGCCCCATGAAGGCCAAGGCATCCGCCGCCGCCGAGGTAAACCATCGCGGCCCGCATATCCATCTCTCTCCTTTTACACTCCGGTCGGTTTCTTAAAACCTAGCTAGGGTATACCTACCTCCGGTTCTTGAGAACAAAATTTCCTTTTTTTTATTGATACGAGTCGACCTGCTGCTTTACTGTACCCGTACTCTAGATTCACAATTCTTCCACATCGATTAGGATCATGTGTTTTTTCACCTCGTTTAAGATGCCCATTCTTTCATATGTTCATGCATGACAATTACAATAGAGGAGCCCTGAATTCAGAAGCCACGCCAAAACGAAATTATGTCAAATTGAGGCGCCGATTCTTCAACCGTGTATATTGCTGTATCTTGTCCCAAAACCTTGCTGACTGAATTTCCCCCTTTTTTGTTTGCTATGCTACTAGGATGGTGCCGAACCCAAGAAGATCCGGTCTTCACGCAGTAAGCGCCGGCGACGCCACCACAGCCACCCCTCCTCTAGTTCTGAATCTCCGCCCCGCAAGCGCACCAAGAAGCACAGCAAGAGGGTTCCTGACAAGAAGAGCAAGAGGAGCAAGGCCAGCGGCGGCAGCAGCCGCAGACGTCGGCACCGTAGTCTTAGCCCTAGCCGTAGCCTCAGCAGCAGCAGCAGCCCTTCCTCAGTAGCCAGACGCAGCTGCTCCTCATGTAGCAGCAGCGGTGCCTCAGAGAGGTCGGTGAGCCCGCCGCCGCCTAGGAGCCGGTCCAGAGATGTTAGGAAGAAAAAGGTGAGGGGGAGGGGCAGGGACAGAGAGAGGGATCGCAAGGGGAGAAAGCTGCGGAGATCGGCAAGTTCCTCTAGCACCTCAGCAAGTAGTGGCAGTAGCAGGAGCAGGAGTAGGAACAAGAGCAAGATCAAGAGCAGGAAGCGGAGGACTGTTGGTGGCACTAAGGATGGTGATACAAGGGATAAGATGGAAAAGGACTACACCAATCGCCGTTCTTCTTGGTCTGACATGAACGTGGATGAGGATGTTGATAAGGAAGAAGACAAACTTGCCATTGCCAAGGAGGCGGACAATGATATTGACAGGCACAAGAAGAATTCAGAATTGGAGAGCTCACCTTCCAAGAATGCCAATGAAATGGAAGAGATAGTATCTGCCAGTGGTGGAAATTCAGATGCTCAGGATCTGGAGCTGATTCTTAGGCAGAAAGCTCTTGAGAACTTCAGGAAGTTCAGGGCAGCAGCGACCATGGGAGGCAAAACAGATAATGGAGCTGCAGGGAAGGAAGCATTAGCAGATGATAGCCTAAAGAATGCCGGCACAAAGGTTGCTGAAGCCGCCCATTTTCAGAGTCAGGGAAGCAGTCTTGAAGCCAGACTTTCTGCTGGATCACCTAGATCACAGAATTTTGGGAATGGTGCAAGTCATTCTTGGAAGCAGGAAAACAGTGCTGGCTTGAGTTATGGGGCTGGATCACCTGGAATACTTGAGCCTGCTGAGACTGGTGGCTCAACTCAACTGAAGGGAAGAACGGTAGAATCAACTCGTTTGGCCTCTCAGTTTTTGTCACCACTGGATGCTAGGAATGGTCGTAGTGTAATGCAAAGGCTGGTGCCCCCTCCAGGTAGTTCTGCTAGTGTAAATCAAAGGTTAGGAAGCAGTGCAGGGCTGAATCATGTCAATGGAGTTCCAAGGATTAGATCAGTTGTGAGCATACCCAATAGGGAAAGGCTTGATGGTAGCACACATACTACACCCCCTAGGCTCAGTGAGGATTCTTCCCCTGTTGAAAGCAGCGACAAAGTTGGACTCCCTTTGAATGACACTAACAAGGCTGAAGGAACTAGTGTAGAGAATAGAAAAACAAGTGAAGATCCAGCGTCTAACGGTTCCGTATTGTCACCTGCCGAGGACAAGAGCCAGCCTAGGATTGAGGATAAAGATAGTTTTCAGAAGAAGACTTTCTCTAGAATGCATGATGGAGAGACAGTGGAGGTAAGGAGCAGACCTTCACTGTGGCTTCAGGTGCCTTGAATTGTCATGCTGAAACTATATTCATCCAATCTAATTCCTTTTTTCTCTGTTTTTATAGGTCAGCTACAAGGTCTACATACCCAAAAAGACCCCGGCCCTTGCAAGGAGGAAACTGCAGCGCTGAAAACACCAAACGCCAAGAATATATAATTCATTATTAGTTTTACTGTCTGCACTATAGGTTTTGGCTGGATATACCTATTTTTGTGAACCACAAGTCCACGAGTACACAGTATACACGTCTTCTGGAATCTGGGTATCTTTGGCCACATCAAAATCGCCCTAAATTACAGTTTTGATGGCTGACAGAAGCATTTACACTTGTTAAAACATGGCATGTCTGTTGTTCAACTGAATGAACAGTTTCTACAGCAAAGCTATTAATTTTCCTGGGATAGGGTCATTGTAATCAGTAAAATTGCCGTCCAATACTGAAACTCTGTCATCTGCATCTATTGCTGTTGGCATATATATTCTTTAGACATGCAGCGGCTACCTTGTAGCAAGCAGATGTTCGACAGACACTGCAGAATGCAGATGTGCCTTTTGTGCCTGAAATGAATCCTGTTTCAAGAGATGTGCTAGTGCTCGATTGTACTCTTTAGTCTCTGAGATTATTAAGTTTGTTCATAATATTGCTACTTTATTGTTGTTTTGATTTGTTTGACTTTGAGTCTTGTGGGTTGTGTGCGCGTCGAGGAGCATCAGATCAGCTTGCTTGCTGCGTCATGAACTGTTGAGCGTTGGATGCTTCCGGCTGCCCTTTTGTTTCCTGTGCCTGATTGGTACTTCAAATGCTGATGAACAAAGGTGTGGTGGAACGGAAATTAAAACATAGGTGTTTTTTTTCTTTCCCGTTTTCGCTTTGTGTTGTCAATGAATTGGAAATATGTTCTTGTTCCCCCTCAAGAATCAAGATGTTTGGTGCAGGTGTAGCTTGAAGATGAGTTGGGATCATAGCAGCAGGAAGTAGCCACGGTAGCAAATTGATTTACATACAGCAAAATAATGTGCTTTTCATAAAAAAATATTTAACATCGTCCACGCATATATGGGCCGGTTCCGGCCCGGCCTGCTAAGATAAAAGTAGCCCACGTCCCTGGCCCTCTCCTCCTCCTTCCTCGCCTTGCTTCTCGAACCGCTCCACCGCCGCCGCCGCCGCCCCTCGGTTCGCCGTTCCAACCGCCGCGCCGGCGACATGCCGCCCAAAGGTCCGTCCTCTTCTCCTTCTCCTCCTATTGTCCTACCCTTCCCCGCGCTTCACTGACGTCGAGAGACGACGACCGCTTGCCTGCAGAGCTGCCGGGGTTCTACTACGACCCAGAGAAGAATCGCTACTTCCCCATCAGAGGCCGCATCCCGGGCGCTGCTGTCCGCCGCCCTCCCCCTCCCGCTCCCGCAGTGCCACCGCCGCCCGCGGACACAACGGGATGCAGCAGGAAGAGGGCGAGGCGGCCGGAGCTGCTCAGCGCCAGGGAGATGTATGGCGGCGGGGTCATCTTCTCCAATAACGCCGCCAGGTCCACGTTCAAGCAGCAGTACCACTACGCGCAGGCGTCTCAGCCCACGGTGATTGTCCGAGCTATTTAGTCCTTGCTTTCTTGTGCATTACTGTATTATTGTAATCTGATGAGGTATAATCTTTCATCATCGCGCGGCTTGGCAGGTCTGGAAGTACCAAGCCACCACCTCTGTGGCTGATAAGGCGCTTGAACAATTGGACGCCATGGTTCAGACACCGCAAGGGTTGAAAGAGTCCAGGATGCTAGTCACCGGCAGCATGAATGGTTCGATTCGGTAAGAGCCTTTGTTTGCATCTGTTTCTATTTATACTATCTAAATAAACCTAGTATTTGAATCCATCCGTTTATTTTTATTCAAGCTATGTAGATTTAACATTACCATATGTTGCCTGAGACTGAAATTGTAGTATGCAAGCCTTGTTGAGCCTATATTGGTATCACCATGTCACAGCCGCTGTATTGTCTGCTCACACAAATTAATCTTTCGTCTTACACTGTTGGCCGCTCTAAGTGAACATGCGCTGTTTATTATCCTTCAAGTCTCACAATCAGTTGATCTGTTTCATCTTTCATTGTTCTTCACTTTTACTGATGTCAAATGCCACGGTACATTTTCCTGTAATCCTCTCGCAGGTTATACGGATTAGGGATTCCTCTGAATAACTCTGAGAATGAGGCAGAGTTTTTGCCCCAACCTGCTTGGACTCCCGCGGGAAAGCACAAGGCAGGCGCACTCCCTAGCATTTGGTCATCTGAAGTAGGCTACACAACTTTCTCATCCAGTATATCATGTATAAAGAAGCTTGGACGTCATGTCCCTGATGCATCCAACATCAATTCATCAGTTCAGCGAGCATTGTATCCTAAACTCGTTACTTATAGTATTCTCTATATATTTGGTGTTGCCATAGATGCACATGTTTTGCATTCTGTTTTCTTTATTCTTAACTGGAAATATGCTGTGAGCTTGGGTCCCTTGATGTTGTGAAACATGGTGGCTACACTTGGATCTGGAGAATCTGGTGGCTCTATATATACTATGGATCTTTCTGAAGCTATTGACTCGGCAATGGGATCATGGACTACCTATAGAGTTCATTCACTTGATCGTACAATGTGGACAGCTGATTGTAGTTCTGATGGCACACATGCAGCTTTCGGTGAGTTCATTGAGTCAGAGCTTAAATGTAGGAGACAACCAGAATTTCCCTTGCACATAGATACACTATTTTTGTAACTTGTTTCTGTTTTAACTTTGTGTTACATAACTCTATCAAGTTGGATGCATTCACTGACAATTTTGCTACCGAATCAGCATTCCTGATTTTTTTTTGAGGATTTAAACTTGACAGTTGAGTATTGAATCCATATAGCAAGACCTTCTTGTTTTGGTACTTGTATACCTATATACTTTTCTTCCACCGTAACTCAGTTAATTTTGGTTCTTGTGATGCCTTTTTTCAATTTAAAGGTTAGTCATTTCTATAATTGGAGCAATTAATTTAATTGTCATAACAAGATGTTCTCATTCTTACAGTTTTTGCAATTCGCAGCCTGCTTATGTTACTGGCACAATACAGTATCCTTTTCGCTTGGGATTCACTTTTCACTTGTTCATCTTATTTCTAGGTTCAGACATTGGTGCCGGTCTACTCGATTTGGAAACAAGGAGATTATCGTGGCTATGCCGATCTAAAAGTGACGTTCTTTCCCTGAAATTTGTGCACTCGGTAATAATCTAAATCTACATAAACTTCTACCCACTTTGTAGTTTTAACTGGTTCAGATATCATTTTATGGTTTGTTGTCAAATGAGAGTTATTGAAAATTTTGCTTGCCTCAACCTTTTGCTCCCACTTCCCAATTAGCTTAAATTTGGTGGTGTCTAATGCACGACTACATGATTCTCAAAGTTTTGAAAGGAAAGCAATATGCTACAGATGTGGCCATTCCTATTGCAGCATATGTGATAATCTGCAGAACTAAGTAATATGGATTTTATTCTTTCTTGTTGACCCTGTATCTGTGTTATGATTAATTCGGAATTTACTATGACATGCTATTCCTGTCTCTGCTATGCTCACTGAATTTTCTCACTCTATTAAGGGAAAAGTTGTGCTATGTGGTCTACGGAATGGGAGTATAGCCCCTGTTGATGTACGGCAAAAGCAGCATAATCAGCCTACTGGAGTAGCTTCATCTAGCAATGCTAGGAGGACAGTTCCCATGCTGCCAACAAGGCATGCTGGGAAGAAGAGAAACCAGGTGTGTAATACTAGTATAAACAACATCCATTATTACCATACATGTTTGCCACATGGAATCAGTTGATTCGTTTGTTGAAGTGGTTATCTAGGGCACAGGACAGGATCGGTCCAAGATCTATATGCTGTACTTCTCTGTTTTATGGCTTATTGTGTCAGAGGTCAGACTCACAGTGCAGGTGGAGCAAGTTTTTTTAGAGCACTGTGTTCACACGACATCCTAAATGGTTAAAAGGATTGGAAAAATTTAGATTTTTCAATTTTAATTCTGTAACATGTGTTTACTGTAGCCATTGTGAATCACCATCTATTAAACTGGTTGAGTTAGGTTCCTCCTAGTTGACATAGAGCTACAATAAAATGTATGATGGGAAATATATTTATTTATTTTGAATGCATAATTTGCCACTGTGATGCTATTGTTGTCTCTTGGAAACTTGTCATGCAGGCTGGCATGGATAAATTTTCAAGAGTTATTTCTATGTCGTCAGCAGTTTGTAGGTAACACTAATGTTCTTTCCTTGGTGCTGGACAATGTTTATGTTCCCTATTACTGAAACTGACATTGTTGCACAGCTTGGTTACACTCTCATCAGATGAGAACTACTTCTTAGGAAGCTCCATGGATGGATCTGTAAGTTATACTCAGATCATTTTTTTAGTGTTATGAGCAAGATTTGTTTTTTCTCTCGAACATGCAGAGGAGAGCTGTGTATCATTATATTAAGAAGAGAAAAAAGGGGTGAGAGCCCTTACAAATCCGCACGAACTCAACACAAACTCACACACATACAACAATAGCACCTTTACCCAAGGTAAAAATGACATGACCTAAAAAACTCAACTCAACAACGGCAAGGAGGATTGAAACGCCTAGCCCCGGTTAAACTCCAAAGATAGAAATCCTCACTAGCGAGCAAAAGAGCTCTAGCTAGATTAGGTGACAAACTCTCATTTCTCAAACACACGCTTTGCTCAGAATCTGCTAGGATTGCTTTATTTCAAAACTTAGAATTGTTTGATGACACCACACATCGATGCGGTAACAATATTTTAATTAGAGTTGTGTTTAGTCTTTTCCCACTTATCTGTTGTAATCATGTAATGTGCCATATTTGAAATTTGACACTTGAATATCATGCATGAAATTAATTTCATGGATTTTTGGTTCATCTTTATTACAATGACAGGCGCATGTATTGAAACAAAACATCATTGATTGAATAATAAATTGGACATGGATATTCAAATATTTTGAGGGCAAACAACGTCCATCGCTGTGAACTAGTTATTAGTTATCTTTATGATTAAGAGTTTGAAGTTGACACAAGACCTTAAAATTATTTTGTTGTACAGATCAAACTCTTCGATCTTCGTCTCATTCAGAAGGGAGGTATACAGTCGTATGAGGGGCATGTGAACTCACACACACATTTACCAATTGTTGTTGATCCATCTGAGACCTTACTTATGTCAGGTTTGTTCATTTTTAGCTGTGTATGTGGCTATGTGCAAATAAGTGTTTATGTTTTTTATTTTGCCATTTAGTGCTAGGGGATGCTCTTTGAAGCTTATGCAATAGTTTGTGTTATTTAAGCTCTACTATATTTCACTTGAAGTGGTTATTGATCAGTAGAAACTTACACAGTGGTTTGTTTGCATTCTCACTTGATGACCTAAATCTATCAACTGCTGTAGTGGAAGGGTTATGGCTTACTGCATGGCTGCATCTGGATTTCTGAAATGCTGCATGATAATATTACCAAGGGATATAGATTAATGTTGAATTACAGATTGTCTAGGTTGAATTGTGATTTACGAAATTATTTGAGTACTAGTTGGTTCGTATGTGAATTTAGCAAATTACAATGCCTCTTTCAATGGCATGAAATCCTGATTTCACAAAACATGCCCATTCATTGCCAGGTGGGGAGGACTGCACTGTTCGCATATGGAGCATCAAAACAGGGGAGCTACTATTTGCACAGAGCATGGCAGACAGATTCACGGCATTTTGTTGGCCCGAAAGCAGCCATGACTTGTGCAGTTCTTCGCTGTTTGATCTAAACCACAGCTGGGGAGCTTGGCTGGGATCACGTGCTGGGCTGTTCTATATGCATGGGACTTGAGTGATTCTGCACTAGTACTACTGCACTACTAACTTGGAGCCTTGGAGGCTGGAGGGAAAAATGGTGGCTGTATTCTCAAAGAACATGAGGCCGCTGAGCATACTGGTTTTGCTAGAGCTCTGGACTGAATGAAGAACTCCGTCTTTGGAAGTCAGACATTTCCTAGGATATCCAGTCTTAATAGGAATTAGACATGTTTTTCTTAGTGATAGATGGATAACCTGTTTAGCTAGGAACAGAGTTTTCCTTTCCTTAGAAATGAGAGATGGTTGTGCGCCATATGCTTTGTTGAGGACTTGAGATGGTGGTCCAGTATACCATGCATGGGATAGTGACAATGTGGTTTGCAAGTCCACGCTCTGTTAGTGCTAGGGAATATAGCATTGCAGTGCCCTGAAAGTGTACATGATGCACATTGTTCCCTGAACTAGCTTTTTTGCCTTTTTGTTGTTACCTGGCCTATATCCGAGCTCTAGATCGTGTGTAAGGAATAGTTAGTAGCTCTGAAGTTAGTGCCCCTACTAGCTTCCTAGTAGGTGTAAAGTTTTGTTGGGCCCATCTGGAAGATGGTAACCTCGGCAGTACCTGCTCCTGAAACTCTGCTTGCTGTTAGTTCCTGGAATGGATGTACGGTCGTTCATTTTGAAACTAGTGCTTGCTTAGAAAAAGATTGAACCAACATTCTGCTGAGCGTGGTAAATTGTCATTTTGATGCCAAATGGTACACTGAAGTCTGTGCTTCCTTGTCCATTTGGCACTGTGATGCCCTCTGAAATTTTGCACGGTCCATAGCACTTCCATCGACTCTGTTTTACAAGTGAGCATCAGCGTTTCAGGGATTGATGGACGCATTTTCCTCAGAGGAAGCTGCTTCTGTATATTGTATTACTACTAGTACTATCTGTAGTGTTACACTATGATGGCTCATGAGCAAACATCAGACAGCTCTGTCAAGCCTGAAACTCTGCTTGCAGTCAGAGCCTGAAACTTTGCACGGTCGACGAATTTGCTCAACTCTGCTTTACAAGTGGACATCAGTGTTGATGGATGCATTCATTTTCCTGAGGGTAAGCTGCCTCTGTATATTACTATTAGTACAATCTGTGGTGTTACGCTTACAATATGATGTCTCATGAGCAAACACCAGACAGTTCTCTCAATCCTGTTGCTCAGGGTTCAACAAAGTCAACCACAGCACAAGGCAGAAGAATACATGGGAACTAGCATGCGTGCCTCTGTGTGGATTCTCAGCAGACAAAATCGTTGTCCTTGTTGAACATGGTGAGGTCTAACTCCTCCCAGTTGGTTCGCAGGGTGATGAAGAAGAGGACGCAGTTCTGGCAGAGGAGGCCGCATATCTGGCCCATCCACAGCCCCTGCAACAGGCATTGGTACATCACTGGTGAGTAAACAAAAACATTACCCCAGAATCAGAAGTCTGACCTCGGTTTGGTTCAGTTCGATTCGATTCGACATTCGAGTGTTTGTAGCAAACATTCGATTGTGAGATGCAATAAAATTCATTCAGAAGAGCAGAAGGCAAGTGCACTGCAGATACAAAACATACCTTGGTCTGGAACCCAAGCGTGAACCCGAAGAGGATGGCGAGGGGCAAGCCGATGACGTAGAAGGCCACCAGGTTGGTCCAGGCAGCCAGGTGCTGCCACCCGCAGCCTCTGGCGACGCCCGACAGCACCCCCTGCGTGGAGTCCAGCACCACGGAGCCGATGAGCAGCGGCGTCATGGACGCGAACGCGCTCACCACGGCCTCGCTGCTGCTGAAGAGCCGCGCCCACACCTCGTGGCCGAGGCCCAGGAGCAGCAGGAACGCCACCCCCAGCATCAGGGACAGCGCCAGCGACACGGCCAGCGCCTTCTTCGCGTTGGCGATGTTCCGGGCTCCCAGCTCGTTGGACACCCGTGTGCTGAGCGTACAGTAGGTGTTTCATGCTTGGAAGGAAGGAAGGAAGGAAGGAAGAAGGTAGCATGCTGCATGCATGCATGACTACTATAGCAATATAAATAAATAGGTACCTGATGACGGCGGCGAAGCCATAGGTGATCATGTATGATATTGCTTCAGTGTTTTGGCTGTCCAATAGAAATAGCCATTGCAGTGATGTAAGAATTACTACTTAATACTCCCTCCATCCCAAATTATAAGTCATTCTAAGAATCTTGGAGAGTCAAAGCATCTCAAGTTTGATTAAAATTATAGAAAGAATTACGAAGATTTATGACATCAAATATATATACTATGAAAATATAATTAATAAAGAACCTAATGATACTTAGTTGGTATCTTAAATGTTATTATCTTATCATATAAATTTGGTCAAACTTGAGATGCTTTGATTCTTCAAGATTCTTGGAATGACTTATAATTTGGAATGGAGAGAGTATATTGTAAAAGACATGAAGACAGGTTTTCTTTCTTAATCAGATAGGCCAGAGTACTATGAAATGAAATATACTTAACTACTTACCACATTGCAATGATGGAAGTGCTGAGCTGAGGCTCTGGCATCAGCCCAGCAAACAGCACCAGGATCTCGAACGACCAGTACTCGAAGCTGCAATCCATTTTTATATATTCAGCAAAAAAACATCATATCGAAACCACGAATTTGAGTAGCTGATGACAATATGTCAATATGTGAGGAGATCAGACTAACCAGACCATGACCGCGGAGGGGATGGCGAGCTTCATGCCAGGCAGGACGTGTCGGAAGGCCTCCGATGTGAGCCCCGGCCAAGTCTCCCTGAACCTGGCCGACAACATGACGTACGCGGCGAGCATGAGGAACGACAACCAGAGCGAGACGGAGGTGGCCACGGCGGCGCCGGCGAACCCCATGCCGAGCACGTTGACGAGCGCGTGCGCGACGCCGACGTGCGCGGCCAGCGGGAGCAGCGAGAAGGCGACGAGCGGCGCCACCACGGACTGCGCCTGCAGGAAGCGGAGCGCGCACTGGATGAAGCCGTAGGCGAACAGCGCGGGCACCGAGTGGAGGAGGAAGTCGGCCGCCAGGCGCGACGTCGCCGGGTCCTGGCCGAGGAAGACGAGCAGCGGCTCCGAGTAGAGCCAGACGAGGGAGACGACGGCGGAGGCCAGCGTCGAGGTGAGCAGGGAAGCCTGCAGGTGCACGCCCATCGTCCGGTACGCCCTCGCCCCGTACCCTTGCCCGCACAGCGTCTCCAGTGACCCGCTCAGCCCGGTCTGTGTGAAATTTCGGTGGATTGTTATATTTGTATGTAAAAAAGTTGTAATTTTGAAGCCGAATTGATTGAATTTGGTATAGGTATGTGGCGTACGTACCATGAGCGCGATGCCAGTGACGGTGCCCCAGGAGTTGCCGAGGGTGGCGGCGGCGAGCTGCAGGTCGCCGAGGCGGCCGGCGAACATGACGGAGACGAGCGGGATGGCGTAGTAGGCCATGCTGGTGGCCACCATGGGCGCCGCGAAGGCCAGCTGCCCCGTCACCTCCGCCCAGTCCCACCCCGGCAGCGCATGCCTCGCCGATGACGACGCCTCTCCTGCAGCTTTCCGCCCATCATCATCTCCATCTCCATGGATGGTGCGGGTGAGGTCGAGGCGGAGATCGTCACCATTGTTGCCCGGCACCGCCACCAGCAACGGAGCAGCTGCTTCCTCCTCGCCCATTGCTATTGCTATTGCTACTGCTACTAGTAGATGGACAGATAGATGGAAGAAATGCTTTGCTTGTCTGTTTAGACGATATGGCAGGCACAATTCCAATTCTATCGATGGCTTTTTAGCTCAGCACTCTATAAGATCCTAGCGTATGGTACCGTGTCTTGTGCGCGCGTTCCGTTCGTTCGTCTCTGCTCTGCACGCCAACCAACTGCAGTGCACTATATATAGGAATTCCCTACCCCTCGAGGCTATATATATAATAAAGCCACCAGCAGACCAGACGATGGAGGGCCACCAGCTAGCCCAGCAACAAGCCAGGTCCACGTCAACACTCAGCATTGTGCACTTTGTTCCAACATGCAAATTCTTTTGCATGCATACTAGTCTTTCTTGTCATACAAATACAGTACTTTTTTTACTAGTTTACTATATACTGATGACATAACTTTTTGCTAAATACAATATCAATGAGTGGTCAAAATATCAATAATACTACTATGGGTCTCAGTTACACTGTGCAATAATACTACTATACATGGCATGGTATATGTGCATATATGATAGAAGCATGTATATATATTGTTTGACTAAACGACACTTGGAGCTAGGAGTCAGTTGTTGTGACATGTATGTATGTATGTATGCACGGTGAGCTTAGTCGTCTGGGGGCCATATATTCTTCTCGCTCTGAGAGTGAGCTCATCACTTCCTGACCTACAGACTGATGATGACTAATAAGATATGTGCAGCCAGTGCTGGTCTTATGACGCTGCGGACTCGTTCCTGTCAAATGTCTCTGAATTCAGAAAAACATTCGCAAAGACCTGCAGTGCCTTTATATATATTCATACACCAGCCGGAACAATCTGGCATAGTAACATGGTCTCATGCATTCCTTGCTCCCCAACAAACTAGCTAGTACACTAGTATGCTGTATGTAATCCCACCCTGCTTTACTTAACATGAATGAATGATTGATTAGTACAAGAATTCCATAAACAATATTAGTATAGTATCAGACTCTTGCTTAGCAGCCATGACTAAATACTGAAAATCCGAGATGCAACTGGACCCAGGCCAGCCGACTAGATAGGTGCTACAGGTACACACACATGGATCAGGACCTTGGCCAAGTCACAAGCCAGACATGAAAATTTTGGCCTCAAAAAGTCACAAGTCAGAGATATTGAGCACCATCCAATTTCTAAGCAACGCCTGTCGGCCTGATCAAACCATCATCATATCTGTGCTGCGACTGCGAGCATTCGCCTAGAACTTCACAACTCACTGCTCCAACTCCACGATGTCATCAGAACATGTATAAGACACACTTGGTGGTCTCTGAAATCTGAATTGGTTGTACGTCTGCTCAGTCTCTGAATTTTTTAAACCACCAAGCAACCAATATAATAGGGCACATATGTACGTTTGCTGGCGCAACAACAGGCTACCACTGTAAATACAACCAAAACAACATCTATTAGCCACACCAAAACCAAATTCCCCAACTCAGCAACAGTAAATTTGTGCTGGAGGAAGCAACAACTTCCAGCAGTTATAAGAGGACAGTGTAACCAGCGGTCAATTTGCTGCGCGATCCATGCGCAGATTGAGCAACCAGCAGACAACCCTCTCCCTCCCATTAGTCCTATGAATACTGGAATGGAGGGAGCAAACAAGCTTTGCAGGCATATAGACTGTTGTCAACTGTGATAGTTGTATACTTGTATGGCAAATGGTCCAACAGCAGCAGAAGCAGCAGCATACATCTTCTAGCAGGTACAAGACAATTATATACTATGGCAGTAGAAGCAAATGGCAGACTGTTATTCAATAATAACCCACAGAAATTCCGTTCCCTATACATATCATCAAAGGCAGCAATTGCTTCTTTTTAAGAGAGTTACAACTAATCAACTTGCAATTGATAATATCTTCAGAAATGCTCCATCGCACTGAGACTGGAACAACGGATCTCTCAGCTGATCCTTCGTTATATCTTGTTTCTGCTCTTGTTCACATCCTGGAGTAGCCCTCGTATTGCTCCATGAATGAGTCGTTGAACTTCTTGAAGCTCGACATTATGGCAGGGAAGTCTTCCTCTGCTGGAAGGATAGTTGTCCGAAGGTGGAACACCCTGTGTTCAGAGAAAAACAACAAATCCATCACTTCAGTAACGTCCTCTCAGATTTCCTACTCTGCTGTTGTTATTTACAGACCACAGAAGAAAATCGAAGTAACATGTCTCAGAAGATACTGATAAGAATATAAAAAACTGGATGAAGGTCAAGGGCAGCAGATTCAACTACACTTCATTCTCTTCTTTTTTTTTCAGTGACACAAAATGGGATGTTTACTTATGTTTCATACTATATATATTCCGTTCTGAGGTCTTAAATTTATGAAACTTCATACATCACAGATAAGTAATCAAATAAAAAAAATCACTTACCCTTCCTTTTGCCCAAAACCAGAGCCCGGAACAGTGGAAATTCCTGTTGCCTCCAGGAGCTTGAGGCAGTAGAAAACGTCTGGTGCTTTGCCGGCTCTTTTTGCCGCCTCAATCGCTCTTGGTGGCAGCCGTATTTGGGGGAAAGAGTACATAGCTCCTGCAAAAACACAATCAATTGCGAGAGAATCTAGTAAGTAAGCAATAACCATACTCTAATTGCTGCAAACCAACAAAGTTTAGAATTTTGATGTTACCTTCTGTGAAATTGCACACGACATTTCGGCAACTGTTGAAACCATCTGTCATCATGCGTGCTCTCCTCCTCAAAGATTCATGGACGTACTTGCTGCAACATCATTTGGAGCCACATCAAACATCAAACTTAAGAATGTACAAAAAAGACAAATAAGTATTCAGTATCCCGCATAGTTTCATTTTTCTACTGAAACTGGATGCAGACTAAAACTTCTGAGGGGCAGTATGTTTAACCTTTCAGCAGTGAACTTGGGGTATGAGACATCTCCAGGTTTAGGAGGGTTAATCATTACTCCCATCTGTAAAAGGAAAACTTATTCAGAACTCCCTTTTTTCCAGAAGCAGCTATTCAGAACTGCTTTGTAATTTGGTAAAGCAAAGAAACGAAGCTTCAAGCAAATTAGCATAGCTTGAACTGAATTAGGTTAAGAAAAATTGGGGTAGGTCCAAAGAATGAAAAAAATGCATATAGTAATAACCTGTACAGCATTGCGGGTTAACGTGAACGAACAAACTTGTCAGTAAACAAACCACAAAAAAGAAGAGATTATTTAAGATGCTCAATCAATTATCTGCATTCTATAACTATACCGATCCAAAGAAATTTGTAGAATTTGCTTGATGCTTCATGAATAAAATCAGTGTTTGACATAATTTGAATTTGAAAACTTCTAATTGAGGTCCCGATATGAATCCAAACATATGTCATTCCAAAACAGAGTACCAGGTTTAGTGAAGGGAAAAATAATAAAGAATCAAACATTGAGCAGTGTTTCACTTACAAAAATTTGCCCAGGAACATTTGGACTCAGTGATATTGATGCAACCTTGTAGATCTCATCTACTGTCTGCAAGCTCAAATCAACAGAGTGGTTAGCATCAGACCTTGAACATTATATTCAGAAAATGACCTTTTTGAACGCACCAGAAAATGACCTTCAAAGTGCCTTTTTGTACAATAGAGTCTAGTATAAGCCTTATTTAAGTGCCTAGCTTGTTTAAAGGGAAAATCTTAACTGACAAAGTTTAAAGGTTTCCAGAGCGTTTAACACTACTCTGCAGTTTAGGCTGGACAAGGAAACCAGTTGTAAATGTACATCGTGGTGGCATAAATATGTAACTCCAGTAGACCCTACTGATTACTCTAAAGTTTCCAAAAGTTTGTCAAAGGAGACTTTGGTAAAAGTAAGACATTGATGCAACAAATGTAATAACAGCACTATAGTCAGTTGGATGGACCATTGGCCCAAATTGCATTGTGCAAGATATTCACAATTAACAAAGTTAAACGGCACAGCAAGATATTCACAATTACTTAATGTGTTTGCAGCTGGGTGTGAACAATTCAATATTTTCGAATATCTCATTTACATCTTTTCATACACTCATTGTCTCATTGACTTTACGTAGCTAGGAACTTTTCAATGATACTTGGGACAAGTGACATTCTGACATGCTGCAATGAAATATTACCTTTGGAGGAAGATTTGTCATTTCAAAGTATCCACCACGTTGTCCACACTCTCCCCAGTTCCCTTTGGACACAGTGTGGAAAGAAACAAGCTGAAGCTCCCTGCTTAGTGGCGGACCCATGTCGAACATAACCTGGAAAAAGTCGAGAAAGGCAACATCAGCAGCGAGTTTTGGAATTCCCAACAATCTTTTAGTGTACCATGTTAGAGAGATAATCTTTTATTTTTAGTTCTTAATATATTGTCCATATTTGGTTCTAAGGGATGTTTTGGGGAGCCCAAATATGAAAACCATAAGCTTAAGTCAAGTTGCAACCATGAGTTCATGACAAAGAATCATTGGTCAGAAAACAAAAGTACCTTTCTTGAGCTCATAAATGGGCGCTCATCTTGAAAAATGTTCTGCTGATACACTTCATCTGCAAGCAGAACTAAGTTTTCATAGTAGCAAAATTGCAGAACTTCCTTTATATTAGCTTCACTAAGGCATTGGCCAGTGGGATTTCCTGGATTTATAATCACCATTGCTCGAACCTAAGCATCATAGGTAAGGAAAAGGAAAAGATCAGAGCAGAATACATATATAAAAAAGGCCCCATTTTTACATGAGTAGTATTGAGTATTGACTATGTGATCATCAGAGTGGAATACATAAAGAGAGAGAGAGAGAGAGACCACATTTTTACATGAGTGGCATAACTACGATGGTTTCAAAAAGATAAAAAGAACCAAGAACTGCAAGAAGCTGAAATGATGTTTAGTGATCAATATTAATCATTAAGACCAAAATTCTACATGCTACCTGTTAGTTGTTAGGTGATCAATACCAAAGGCCTCCTACAAGTTTGCTGGACATGACAAGTTGTTGAAAAAACGAAATGCGGGAAATTGCTCGATGAGACTAGAATCAATCAATGATATGGTGTTGACATTTTACTTGGTATCACTTTCTGTATCCATGAATATGTAACTACAGATGGGCAAAGGCAAGCTCATAATGGCATGTGCAAAAATTGCAGAAATCATGTAGCAAGAGAAGGGAAATTTTGATTAGCACAATGATGACTAATAAAACACTCACTGTGATTCCCTTTGACCGTGCCTCCGCCACTGTTTGTCGGATATTTACAAAGTCAAGGCTCCAGTTAGCCTCTTCTTCCAAGTAGTACGGGACCAGAGAACCACCATAGAGGGCAATGGAAGCAGAATAAAGTGGGTATTGAGGAACAGGGACCAAGATCTGCCACAGAAGATTTATCAACAAAATTAGTCTTTACTCTTCAGTAGAAATAGCATCACATCGATATGTGGAAAGAGACATGTTTTTGAAGAACACTCATACCCCATCCCTCTCGTTTCTGATGATGGTGTTCAGTATTTGCATCACACCTTTGCTGGCACCATCTGTCAGGTAAATGAGTTCTGGATCACTGCAGTAATAAGTAGAGCATAGAAGCGTTAGAGATAAAATGGTCTACAGCTCTTATACAATTAATTTTCAGCAGTTCTTTCTAAAAAAAGTAAAATTTTCAGCAGTAAAGATTTCAACGTCGGATATCCATCGCGCTTGTGGATGAAGTCAGCAACTTCCTTCCTAATTCCAGGGATACCACGGGAATCACTGTACGCACCTGATGGTCAGATGAAAAGTTTGGTCAGAGTACTCATAATCTCATATGACTATGAACCTACGACAACACATACAACTGATAAAAGTTGCTTCTTTTTTCGATTATTCAGACTGCAAAAGGTACACTTTGTGCTCGTTATGAACCTTGCAGGAAGACAACATTAATCAGGATATGGATATGATAATTCTAGGAGACCTAAAACAAATGGCTCTTGTTTTATTTCCCCAAAACAAGATCACTGTATGGTATGGTAACGCACCTAGACCGCCCGGCGTCATGGCGAGATAGTGCTTGGCCCTAGCGATGGCATCCGCCGGGAACATGAGGCCGACGTGGGGATCATCGAGGAGGAACGGAGCCTGGCACAGCGCCACCACCTGCGCACGGGATGCAGTAGTCACACACAGGGTTCAGCCGTCTGGGTAAGAATAGAAGGCGTCGAACAACCAACTCCATGAGGAATTGAGGATGCGATGCGAAGCGGAGATGGATGGTCCTGACCTGGCGCCCGAAGGTGAGCGGCTTCTGGCCGAGGGCGTGCGGGTTGCCGACGTTGGTGAAGATGATCTTCTTGCCCTCCTTCTGGAGCTCGGAGGCGCGGAGGTAGAGCTCCCCGCGCACCGCGTACCGCACCTTCTTGACGTTCTCGTTCAGCTCCTCGTAGTCCAGCGGCTTCCTCGCCATCTTGCCCCGCTGCCGTCACTCCTCCTCCTCCGCCGCCGCCGTTCCCCTTCCTCCCGTGGAGTGGCGGGTGGACTGGATGGATGAGTCACGGGCAGCGGGGAGAGAATGGGGAAGGCAGGTGGGGACAAAAACCAGGAAGCAGGTGAGCAGATGAGGATTTGTACTCTACTACTGCTGACTGCTGTCCGTCGTGCCTCGTGCGTGTGCGTGTGCGTGTGGGTGGAGGAGGCCGGAGGTAGAGAGATTTGGAATATATGGACTTGTCGCTTTGCGGCCGTGCAGATTGATTCATCGGCGGATAATGTGGAAACGAGAACGGATGGATTAGTATTTTTCGTTTTCTTGGCGACGAAATTGGCAGGGGAGCGAGAATTTTGGGTGGCGGATCAATGGCCACTGGTTGGGTTATCGCCTCGCCCGGTCCCGCCCCCGCCGACGAGACGACGAACCGTGCCGCGGCACCCTGACCCTGCAATGCCAATAATGAACAGCAGCAAACTTCCAGCCAAAGTTTCTTTCTGACGCGCCAGATCATGCAACTTTTGCAATTGATGAGAACGAAAGTGGCATTCAAGATTCACAGCACTGAACTGCCCCATCAGCGTGAACCACGGCAACAACAGTCCACTGACACTGAGAACGAAGCTTGTTCAGAAAATTTCAGACAGGACACAGAGTGAACTGGTTGCAGCTAATGCTATGGAGTACAGTCTGCATATATTCTTTTTTTTTCTTCTTAAGAGCACTATCTCTATCAAAAAAAAAAAATGTAATTATGAGTTACGTGTCAAATAAAGTGGTTCACGTTTGATCAAGTTTTTAATGAATAGTATTTATATTTATGACTATAAATTAATTTATTATAAAAATACATTGCATACTTAATCTAATGGTATTTATTTTAATATCATAAATATTGATTTTTTTATTTATAATTGGTCAAACTTAAGATATTAAAATATAGCACTATGCTAGAATTATATTCTTTTTGGGACATATGTCTGAGTTTGCGGTAGAAATTTCATTGTGCCACACGGTACCACGACACGTCGAGAGACATTTGTTACCAAGCAGGATCCTGCCACTTGACCTTTTTGGAAGGATATGAAGGGTCTTTAGTCCCTACTCTATTTATTTAAAGAAATATAAAAAAGTTGGGAGTACGATACGTGGAGGTTCAGAAGACAAAGAAAGAAAGGAAGAAAAAGGTACAAAGCAACGTATTACACAAGATTTTGGATCCATGAAGAAAGAGGCGTGGCTTTTCTTGAGGTCACCGTTAAAGTGAGCAAGGATAACTCTTTTTTGAGTAACATCTTGCTCTTTTGTACATTTTCTTGGAGTCCTTGGAAAATCTTGTCATTCCTTGCTGACCACACTGTCCAACACATCAGTACTATTGCATTCATGAAGAAGATAGAATTAAGTTGATCTTTCAAATAGCTCACAATGTCTAGGAAACTTGCCTGGGCTAGTATGGTTATATTTAGAAGATTCCAGCTCGAACTTGCAAAAGGACTATATAGGGAGAGATGGTCTGCACTTTCTTCCACTTGGAGTGAGCAGAGGGCACGGTTGTATGAATCAAGATGCATGTTCTTCCATTTTAAGATATTCCTTGTGCTTAGTCTATCTTTAATGAGGATCTAGAAAAATAATGAGTTTTTGCCTGACAGATAGATTCCCATAACCATTTGTGCACTATATGTACCTGCCTTTGTCGAACCAAGGCCTTGTATGCATCAGAGATTCAGAGGAGAAAAAGTTTTGCCCCAAAATGTAGGCCCATGTGTCCTCTTTGTCAAATAAGATGGTTTCTTCCATTATAGCTAAGAGGGTCTGTAATTGAGCAAAAACTAGTTCTGAGAGAGGCAGATGAAATAGGGTAGTGATTTGATCTTGTTGGAAGACTTTGCTGATTGGTAGAGACTTGTTCTTTACAAAGGAGTATAGCTCTTGGAAAGTGTTTTCCAGAGCCTGAATGTTCCATTTGTCTTTCCAAAAGAAGATACTCAACCCATTGCCTAAGTGCACATTTGCAATGTCTCCGTAGTTCTCTAGAATTGTCAGTTTTCCCGCCACCAAAACGATCATTTTTTTTTGTGTGGTTTGGCAGTTTTCCATTGAAGTATAACTTTTCTCAGATCAGTTTTACCCATGGAATGTCCAATATGTTGAAGAACTTGTGAAGGTTCTTGAGCATCATGGCTTTATTGTGTTTCTAGGCTACCACTTAACTTCAATCATGTTGTCCCAAACTTTACAAATCATCATTTGTCTCTAAGAGTTGAGTTGACTTCCCTTTCCCATTGTGTTCCCTTTTGCTTCCACTCTCTCTTAAGAGTCCTTCCACCTCTTAGCCCACATTCTCCACCTCTTAGTCCACATTATCCTGAAATAAATCATCATCTCTATCCTCTAACTCATAATCAGTGTCCAAGAAATATTCATCTTCACTCTCACTATCTTTGGAACTAGCTTCATTAACATCTTCGTGTATCAGCTGTTGCTCAACCCTCTTGTTCTTTCGATCAATGTAGAACGCATGCAATTTGACGGTGCCATACCCCGGGTATCCCGACTACCGGATTTCCAACTACCGACTTTCAGCTAAAGGAGTCCAAGCAGGATACGGCGGCCTATTCAAGGAAGGAAAGCCCGAAGATAGGAGATAGAGTCCTGATAGGTTTACGTTGTTTTGTCTTTTACCTCAAGTTATCCCGGATATAAATAGCGGGGGTCGGTAGGCTAGGAGATCATCGAAACTCTCATAGGCATAGCCATCTTGTAATCGTCATCTCGCTATTCGACGAGATCGAAATATAAACAAGTAGCAACTGGACGTACGGCTTTTACTCACTTCCTGGGGGGCGAACTAGTATAAATTTCGTGTCTCTACTGTGCTTGCTCTTTGCGTTAGACGAATTTATCTAAGAACCGAAAATCTGCCGGTAAAAAACACCAACAGAGACGCGTTAGGTAGGGGGATTTCGCGCAAAGACTGATCACACCGATCATCGGAGGAGTTTTTTTTTCGTAGACACATCTACTACCGTGACGCTGAGACCCGACGGCAAGATGCACCACGTCGATACTACGTGTTGGTGTGTGGCGGAGTCCTGCGGCAGCCCCATGCTTATTGCACAGGCAAGAATAGCTTGGCAGATCGGAATCGACGAAACGTTGCGCCGTACGTCACGAGGCAGCCAGCCACTATCATGCACGATCACAAGGAAGCAAAAGGAGGCACGATCTACAACGCCATGCAGAGCAAATTTGCATGTACGGGCGTATATACACAAAAGGCATGCGTGTACCAAGGATGCAAGCCCAAACGCGCCCGGCTAATTGATAGCAAGCTAAGTCGTGTTTCTATTTTCCAATTAAGTATTCTGTTGCATGTATACATCTTCTTGTATTTACACATGCCATCATCCATAGCACCAATCGTCGTCTTCACCCTCAACGTGATCGCAGATCTGGCTGCAACGCTCATCGCTCGTCGTCGTCGCCCGGCGGCAGCTCATGTTGAAATCCCGTGCTGTCAGCGTCCCGAGTCCTATGTCGTCATGCCAAGTCCACGGAGTCTGCTCAGGCAGAGATTAAAGAAGGAAGGACATACGGATCTGTATGGCATACAAGCTAGTTATGGAAATCATGAAGATATTGAGGCTTCCACGTGCAATCGGGAGTCCGATTTGCATGTTCAGGCTTTATTCCTCTACTACTGACCATGCATCCAGGGGCCTCCCCAAGGTTTCTTACCAAAAGGACGACTTCGCTACTCGGACCCAACGTACTAGCGTTCGGGAACGGGTATCGACAAGCACGACACACCTCGCCCGACTATACCTCGGCCTGGCACGTCCGAGGGCTTTGCCTACCTACGTGCACTACCGGACTCCTCAAAGTTTGTCGAGTGCCCCAAACACTTCGGCAAAAGACATAAAACACTCGACAAATGATTCGCCGAGTGTTAAAACAGTGACGGCAAAGCCAACTTTACCGAGTGTCCGACACTCGGCAAAGTTGAAACCGAAAAAAACCCGAAAAAATGGGAATTTTTACCCCAAAAAAATAGAATTTTTTTTATCGATGGAGGCCCCCACCGGCCAGCGTCCACCCATCTACGACATTTTTTACGTGAATTTCATGGCTACGTGGCTGACACGATTCGAACCCGAGACCTCCCGCTGTGCACGTACCTCCTCTACCACTACACCACACTCTCACTTATGTCTGGATTCCGTTTTAGTTCCTAATATATTATACTAAACCGAGTGTAAATTACATATTTGAGGCCCTAAACGAATTCAAATAAAAAAGTTGTAAACTACAAAGTTTCATAACTTTTCGAGATCTACACTTTTAGTTTAGGAAGTTTATCCATCCGAGGTCGTTTATAAAATTTGAATTTTAAAATTTTGAAATTCAAACACAGTTTTGCATGACAAGATGTTTTCAAATCAAAAAGTTGTTAACTATAAAGTTTCATAATTTTTCGAGATCTACACTTTTAGTTTAGGAAGTTTTTCCATCCGAGGTCGTTTACAAAATTTGAATTTTGAAATTTTGAAATTCAAACACAGTTTTGCATGACAATATGTTTTCAAATCAGAAAGTTGTCAACTACAATGTTTCATAACTTTTCGAGATCTACAGAGTTTATTTTGGTTGTTTTTTCATCCGAGGTCGTTTGAAAAGTTCGAATTTTAAAATTTTGAAATTCTAACGCAGTTTTGCATGACAAGATGTTTTCAAATCAAAAAGTTGCCAATTACAAAGTTTCATAACTTTTCGAGATCTACAAAGTTTATTTTAGTTGTTTGATCATCTATTCATCCGACATGGTCGTTCTAACATTGTTCACAAATCTTATATTTCTCTTTTGTAGTTTCATAAACTACAAGAGAGATATGTTAGATTTGTGAACAAATTTATTTTCACTTTGTCGTATGAAAAAAAGACCAAAACAAACATTGTACATCTTGATGAGTTAT